GGGGGGAAAAAAAAAAAAAAAAAAAAAAAAACTAATTTTAGTGAATGAGTATTCTTGTTTCTCTATGGTGCATGAGGAAACTCAAATTTGGTTGTCCAGGTTGTCAATGCCCTCCTGACCCAGATGGACAAATTGAAATCCTCACCCAATGTAATAATATTAACAACTTCTAACATTACTGCTGCTATCGGTAAGACTACCCTGAACTTCAGATTCTGTTACTTAGTGTTCAAAAGAATCAATAGCTCCTTTTTTGCGAGGACACATGTTCTGAGTCCACCCCCCCCACCCCCCCTTTCTATGTCACTGACTTGCTGTTGATATGATATTGCCATTTCGTTTGCAGTCAAGATCCACTACATTTAAAAGCTGCATCTTCTTAGTATGAAACAGGACATAAATTCCAGTATTTGCTCCGACTTGTATTTAATTTAATGGCTGGGTGGTACGATATTCTTCTTTAGCTCTGGTGGAATCTGTGAGATTCCCCATCTGTAGTTAAGTTCTTGAACTACTACAGTTTGTTCGTGTCATCAGTGGAATAATATAAATAATACTGAAAAATGGAAAAGAATGGAAGTCATCTTATTGTGATGAGTCATCGCACCACGAGACTTAACTTCCTAAAATCAAGCATCCTAGACATGACATTGTTCTCTAGTAACCTGGAATTCAGCCCTTGTTTGGGGAGATTAAAATCATATTAAATTTCAAGTCAAAGTTAACAATTAATTTTAATCACATATTTTATGGGGCGAACAATTTTTCAACAACACATTTCATTAACTTTTGTCAAAATCTTCTTAAAATTTGATTTTAATGTACCCCAAACAAGAGCTTATTTGCTGCTGCCCTTTGTTAATCAAATTTTAAAGAAGGTAATTACGTAAGTGTTTGCTTTCTAATTTGTTTAAAGAAAGAGATGTTCCAATAGGGACTTAGGTTCACCTTCTAGGCTCAATTTCTTGTTTTAGTGATGATGCTGGGGAGAGAAAGGAAACTGTTGAGGCGGATGTTTTCAATACTGAAATCAGCTCTGGATAAAGCAATTGTAGCACCTCTGGCACCCATTATTTTGCTTCTTCTAACATCTCGGAGTCTGAATTTATGGACAAATTTGAACCTGCACATTGCCTTGGTGGAATCTATAAGTGTTAGATCGAACAGCGATATGACTGAGAGGGTCCCTCTTTTAATGAATGAGTAGGATCGGATCACAAAATGGAACAAGACCTTTGCGCCCCACATATGGCTTCTATTGTAATATTCGATGAAGAGCATGCTGTGGGTGCTGCTTGCTGTGGTGGGGCAAGGAACATAGAGCCAGAAAAATGCACTGGGCTTCTTTGGAAAAAATTTACTACCACAAATTCGGGTCTTGATTTCGGGGACCTAAAAAGGCATTCAACATTGTCATGTTAGCCAATGAAGGTTGGCACATTCTGGGTCGTTTTTAGTAGGACCAACCTGAGATGTAGAATTGACTTGATAGTACCTCAGGATCGGGAAGAATTCCTCATTCGCAGCAGCCATAGACTGCTAGTTAAAGAAAATCTTTCTAGCCATATCTCGTTTGTGGAATTTTTGTTCACTTTACAATCCACAATCATTATTGGAGCTTACTACACCGATGGCACTGCTGATCATGGACCAGACCTCATGAAAAATTTCGTCAATGAGGTTTTGTTCTAAAAAATTGACGATCCTGTTTGGTATATCCAAGTTTCTTGAAACTTTCCTCATTTTCCCCCTAAACTCTGACATCCCAAGTTTTACTTTCTGGATAAGTATCAAATGTGTTCCCCTCGACTGAAGTATATAGGAAATCATTGGTATCAAATCTAGAAACAGAAGAGGAGGTTTTTATCGAAGTTTGAGAGACAGTGAGGAAGAATCCTAGGGTGGCCGGCGATCCTTAGATTAAACTCAGTGAGCTGAACAAGATTCCATGCTTTGCTTTGTCTGTGGAGCTTATGAATTTACTGGAATGTGGACAGACCTAAGGAGTGAAATATGGTCTCAGATGGAAGATTCATAAGATGATCCCGGCCTGTATTAGGAGAACTGCTAGTTTCTTTTGTCCATCGTATTCCAATGATTTATTAATAGGATGGGGAATCCATTTCGCAGTTATTTTGTTGATTAAAATCAAGATGGAGAAGCAGGGAGGGGACTTTCGTGTCAATTATTGAGACTAGAATTTGTGCAATTTTCTCTTTTCTCCTTTAGTCCTTTATATGGCTGCAAGTCACTTGTTTTTATGCAAAATTTTCTCTTGTACTCTTTTACTGTTCTCAAAACTTCAACTGTGTACCAAGCAGACGGTATGCAATAACAAGGTAAATATAGAAAATCTTGCCATCCTTTGGTTGCAGATATAGCTTTTGTCGACCGAGCAGATATTAAGGCTTATGTGGGGCCTCCAACTCTCCAAGCACGTTATGAAATTTTGAGATCCTGCTTGCAAGAGCTCTTACGGACTGGAATCTTATCTAATTCTCAAGTTCAGGTACTGGCTTAAACCTTGCATTCTGTTGACTTTTTTGATTTTTGAACTATGGAAAATACATACAGCTGAATGCAATTTCTTTCTCCTGTTGAACAAATTTCATTATTTTTCACACATTCTAACAGCTTTTAATTTTAATTCTGTTTCATGGTATTCATGTATTAAAATAAAGATTGTATATGTGCGCTCACCAGTTGCCTAAAGATACTTGAAACCATGAATGGAATTTGTTTCTCTTGGTGACAGCCAAAAAGCTGAATGGGGAATGCATAACTAAGCTAACCATTAAGTTTACATGTGAAATTCATGTAGGATGGTGATAGCCTCATTCTTCCAAGTTTTGATACTTTGAAAGAGAAGTTAAGCAACCCGGAAATACCTGAGTTTGCAGCCCCAATAAATCTTGGTAAACATTTGCTAGAAGCTGCAGAAGCGTGTGAGGTACTTTTCACGTTTCTTTCAAAATAAGTAATTTAATATATATTCAGATATTAGAGCATCAAATTGGAATTAGTTGCGTCTGTTCTGTTTTACGACTTCAGTTTTGCTGAATCGCACTTTCTTTGTCTTCAGGGCTTGAGTGGAAGATCGCTCAGAAAGCTTCCATTTTTGACCCACTCCGCCCTTGCAAATCCTTGGGGCTGTGAACCGGGTAAGTTCTTGAGTACGATGATGACAACAGCTAAACGAGAGCGTTCTGAGTTACCTGACTGAATACGTAAAATATGAACTGATCTCACAGTCAAAGGCAAGATTGTAGTTCAAGACGAAATTTTAGATATTTGCAAAGGCTTGTTCAATTAACTTATAGAAGTGTAGTCTTTTATATGAATTAGAACACATTCTTGTACTAACCTTCTAAGGTACAGGGATTCTCCAACGGTGTTCCACCATATATGATAAGGACATTATAAAAGAAGTTAAAATTTGTTTATTATGCCATTCTCTAATGTTTTATACCTTATGATGAGTTTGGTACAAAATATTGGAGTACGGTGGACAACATTAAGCCTCTGTTTGGTGGGAATTAAAATCAGATTTTAGGTAGATTTTGATAAATGTTGATGAAATATTTGGTCAAAAAGTTGTGGGTTATATGAAATATGTGGTTAAATTAATTATTGACTTTGATTTAAATTTAAATCTACCAAACATGGTTTTATCTGATTTTGTATGATAAACATGGACTTGATGTATTGTGATAGTGCTTTATAAGTAAATTAATGCTTGCAATGTTTGACAACTCTTGAGTTTGCTCGATACATTGTCTAACACTACTTGAATGTGTGCTTTGATTGATATTGTTTTGAACAGATCATTGAGACGAATTTCATTTTATATCGAATAAAGAATTTAAGATGGGAAAACTTGGCCAACTCTAAGCAAGAAAGTTGGGGATTATTGTTGTTGATTTTCTCTCTCAAGTAGGGGTGGACGCGGGTCGGTTCGGTTCTAAAGAGAACCGAACCGAACCAAAATATTCGGGTTTTTAGTAAATGGAACTATTGGGTCCAAATATAATTATGAAACCGTTCGGGTTTGGTTCGGTTCGGTTTTGTACTATAATTAAATTTTTTAATATTTATAACAATATTATATAAATACAATTGATGATACATTCAATGGTTTTAGAATGTCAGAGACTAGTAGATTACCTTGTTCAAATGATTTCTACAGTCAAAGTTTCGATCGGTGGAGGTCACAGCTCCGATCGGAGGTCACAGTGTCGGTCGACGATTGTATAGGTTTTGGAATATTGGCGAGGTTGCGAGAGTGAATGCGAGAGTTGAGACAACGTTATGTACTTTAGTGTAGATGTTTAGGGTTATTTAGTGAATTGAATCTTGTTGTGTTAAGAAATGAAACAATAAAATGGGTAATTGGGCCAAAAATTAAAAAATCAGAAATGAAACAAATTATTGAGCCAAAAATTTGGATTTAGAAATTGTTAATTTATTTAGAAAAAATTAAAATTAAAATAATTTGATTTACCCAATATAAAAAAAAATTAGAAAGATTCGGTTCTTATTCGGTTCTTGGTCTAGAACCGAGAACCGAACCGTACTCTTCGGTTCTCAATTCAGATACCCGTTCGAGTATTTAATTTGACAAGAACCGTCGAGTTCGGTTCGGGAGATTTGCCCGGCTCTGCTCTTAAGTGGACGAATGTTAACAGAGTGATGAATAGATTATTGTTCTAACATGGACTAATTATTTGCCTATTTTATTTTAACTATATCCAACTCTAAATCAAAACACACAATTATTGATTGGATTTTGATTTTTTGCTATGTCTACAAAAATAAGCAATTAATAAGAATCAGGCAAATTCTTGAAATTAATCAAATTTCAAAAGGCACTAGAATTTCAAGTCACCGTTGTTAACCTTTTTCAATCCTTAACTACTCGTTTATGGTGAACTCTTAGTTATGTTGATAACCGATTTGTTTATGTTAATATTCTCAAGTTGACTCAACCATATCTCTATCTAATATATAAAAATGCACTAAAAAAAATTAGAATATCACAAAAGATAGCACCAAATATAGAAGTATTTCTTTTTCTATTTTCCATAAGACTTGAGGGTATATTTATTTGGGACATTTAAAGACTTTTGACGAATTAAAAGTTTTAAGTGTATTCAATTGAGATTTATAATGACTCTCTAAAAGTTTAGGTGTATTCAACTGAAATTTTTATAGACTTTTAAAGTCTCTAAAAGTTACAAAATATTCAATTGAAACTTTTTAAAAATTTATACTAGTCGTGAGATATTCAAACAGATAGCAACTTTTGGAGAATTTTCTATTTATTGAACTTTTGGGGACTTTTTGATGAAAAATATAAATAGCAAATCTCAAAGAATATCTCTCATATATTCGGGAGATTTGTGAAGATCTCAAAGCAAAAAAGAAGAAGAAGAAGAAGAAGAAGAAGAAGAAGAAGTCTTTTTTCTTGCAATTATGGAATTTTCTCATATATCTTCAATTCATTTGTTGTAATTAATTTATGATTATGCTATATGTACATAATTACTTTTAAATTGAAATTATTTGCAGTTATTTCAAACCATAGAATTCCATGTAATTGATATATTCTTTTTTTATTCCCCCATTAAGAAGAGTTTGTGGTCTTAGAAATTATGTTACTTTTGTGATTTTTCTTGAAATTTTGGTTATGTTATTGGAAATTGATTTAATTTATTATTATTATTATTATTTTATTTGCACTAAAATTAAATGATTGGACCGTGACTAGTAACTTTATCCAAGAAAATTTTGTGGCATCATGGTTCTCAAAAATATTAATTAGATAGTAAGAAAGATTGTAATTTTCAGTTATATAATGAATTTGAAAGATAAAAAGTCTTTAAATTAAAAATCTTGAATTAAAGTCTATAGAAGTTTTATTAATTCTTAACAAATTCATAGATGTCACTCCATATAATTTACAAGAGTCACCCACTTAAAAAATTATAAAAAATTTTTTAAAAGTCTCAATTGAATATACTCCTTTAATGGTGTTTGTTATTGGGGATTGAATCATGATTTATCTCTTGATATAATCAAAAATTCCAAAACAATCCTAAGATTAGCTGGAAAGTAGGATGTCAATAAAAAAATAATAACAAACAACCAATTACAAGAATTAAACTAAAAATCGATAATTTATTGACTGAAGGAGACGAGCCAGGTTTCATCATAATCTTATTATCTTAACAACTAGAAGTTTAGCCGGAAATGATTTGAATAATAAAAAATAACAAAAAATAAAAAATAAAAAATAATAGACGAATGAATTCATAACTTGAATATTCGTGGAAAAAAGATTATTATATCCCTCAATCTTTATTTTTTTCAACATCTTGAAATTGCATCCATCCTCGCTACAAATATCAAACAGGAATTATGAAGAATTCTTTTTGTCTTGATCTCAAGTGATCTCTATTGCGTAGCGGTCTACTCTGACCTAGATATGATTTTTATATAGAGGCCAATATATCTTAAACAACCATTTAACAAGTACAGCAATTTTCACACCTTTTTTTTATAGCGCACACACATACAAGTGGGTGGGATCCACCATTAAAATAATCTTGGACCCCACTTTTGTGAAGTGATGTGAAAATTACTGTAAAAAAATATGCTGTACAAATAACATTTTTGTATCTTAAAAGCCATATACCATTGGCGGATCTAGAGGGGATTGGGCTATGCTAAGCCCAATTCATAATTAAACAAATATTTAAGTAAACAATTAATTATTATTATTATTATTATTATTTTTGCGTATTAGTTTGTCCTAAATTTTTCCTAGATTGACATGTACATACCATAGTTATTAAATTCGACCTGACCATCGACCCGGTCAAGGCACTGAGTCTCGGGGTATTGGTCGAACCGGTGGGTCAATGCTTGGTAATTATAAAATATTTTTTAAAGTATGAAGTTTTTTTTAGATAAAAAAAAAAAATTAAATTATCTGTCATTAATTATGTTTATATTTATATATGATTTTGTTAAATATTCAATTCATTTTAATCAAAACAGTTACTATAATTTCTTAAACATATTTTTAACAGACAATAAATGATTTACATATACATAATTATTGCAATAACATAACAATAAAGAATTGATTTCTAGTGGTTAGGTGGTACTCACTTTATCTAAAGATCTAAGGTTCAAGTCTTTTGAGAATAAAAAAATTTTGAATAAACTTTTAAATCTCGGTCAAACCAACCAACCGGCCGAGTTAATATAAAAATCGCTGATTAACTCTGTCATCTTGACGACTCAACTCAATTTTTGACCAAATCAATTGCATCTCTATGAAAATGTTCTATCCGACTCGATCAGGGGCCTTGAATCACCGATTTTTCTGCCCGACCGATCGATCCGAGCTGGGTTTTATAAATATGATGCATACTCTATTTGCCATTTAATTAGGAAAACAATCAGACTTTTAAGTCTGGTTGGACACAGGCGCACTTGCCTCAAGCATTGAGGCGAGAGGCGAGCAAGAGGATAGAACAGCGCCGCCGATTGTACTAAGGGCGGCCGCCTTCTCCATCTTTTTGCCTATGTACAATTTGGTCCCCAGAGTTTCAAACGCACACCTTTTGATCCACAATTTCAAATTACGATTTTTTTTGGACGTTGAACTATAACTTCAATTATCTTTCCAATAGTGTAATTTGCTCTCAAAAGATCTTTATACTAAAATTTGTGCAGTAATACCGTTACATGATCCAATTGTAATGTTAGTTTGTCATTTCGCATCTTTGGTCCTTTTATGCTCTGACATTTGCAATTATATCAACAATCCTCGAACATGGATTTTAACCTACAATAACATCATACAAAGTAGAAATTCAATCGGTTAATCCATTTCACACAAATTCAAAAGTCTAAATAAGTGTGTAAGACATACAAATCAACTTTAAATCCAATTCGAGAAGTTATTGGTTTACATTAAAAGTCGTTAAGTCCATGTTTGGTTTAGATAAAATATCATATTTTTGGGGCTCTTTTGATATGATTTTTGCTTTCTGTAGAAAAGTTTTTAGAGGAAGCAATCTTAATTATTGTTTGAAAAATAATTTTTAAATAACTTTCTATTTCGAAAGTACATTTAGAGGAAGCCACATTGAATCAACTTCTTTTAAAACTCTTTTAATACTAAAAGCACTTTCACAAAAGAGCAAATTAGACACGGTATTCTAAAAAATAAATGGAGGAATTGATTAATAAACTTAACCAAAATACAGTTTTGATAACCTTATTAATTACATCCATTAAGAATATAGAGAAATGCTATTTTGTCAGGGACATTTGTACAGACCCTGGTCAGACTTCTCATACAAAGGGAATGGGTATTTTTTTCTTATTATTTTTTTTTTTGCCATTAAAAAATGGGGTGAGCCCCTTGTACGAGAGTAT